TGGACCGAGGGAAGAAGCGCGCGAGCCCAATCCCGCCAATCGTGCATCCATTAAGTAAGTCAAGGTGGTTTTAGACAGAGTGAACGTGGCGAGAAAGCATAAATCAATGTAAAAGGCGCCAGCGACACAACGCAAATAACAGGGATGAGCCATTGAAACGGACTGTTGTAAATAGTGTATATACTCTATAAATCGTCCAGTGTAATCTTAATAAACGATTTTGTGATCGCGACCCAGTCTTCTTGCTTCCCGGACGGCAACACGAAACTACGTCCGAGAAAGCAGCTTTAGCAGAAATGTGATCCTCTGCCAAACCATCAGCAGTATGCTGGTATGCGGTACCGACGCTTCGCTGCTGCGCAACCGCCACCAGTTGCACATGGGCTAAGTAAACTGCGATGGTTTCCAGGTCCACTACACAGGCTCGTACCCACACCCTCTGATTACAAGGCAGGCTTGTGATCCTTCAGGCAACAGACCTCAGATAACGCATTAACAATGAGGAATGCTTGCCTATCAAATCAATCAAATGATGTTTTAAGAAATGGCAAGAAAATGGTGATAGCAAATGCCGGCAGCAAAGAATTTTAACAAAAAAGGTAAACCAATTTTGCATCCTCTATACACGTGTTCCCGTGTCTCAGACGGACATTTTGTTTGCTCCTTATGAGTCTGTTTTGGCTTTATTGACAGCGCGCTTGATTGGGTCCTCCACTCCGCCTGCTCTGTCCAACTTCTGTGTCAGCTCCGTGTCTTGGACACGCTTAGTCGTTCTTTTTGTTCGTTTCGGTGGCCTGCGCTGGCTCCACGTTCCCCATTCCTCCTACAATTTGTGGAGCCAGCGCTTTTGCGAAGTTGCACCTGCACGCTCGCCGCAATATAGTTTTCGCCGTTTGTCCTGGTCTGTAAAACCAGAGCTACGGTACATTAAATCGTGCACGTGATTGGCTCTGTCACTCGAGCCAGTGTGGTGTTCACACAACCGAAGGTGGCAGGCACACTCCGGGCTTCGCACATCTCAGGTGTCCCCCCATTTTCCAATGCCATTACGCGCGGACACACTGCATCATATAGCTCATTTATCGGGTGTCTTGTAAATGAGGTCCGGAACTAGGAGCGGCTGCACTCAGGTACTGACGTACAGCCGGTACGCTGAATTGCTAACTGTCCGATAACACAAAATGCTTTGCCGGCAGGGATGAGCGGGGACAAAGACACCACAAGTGTGCCCATCATTGCAGAGCACACCGAGCCGTTCGGCTGGGAGAAGTGAACGTTAGCCAGGCACCACAGCCGTAATAAACGCGTCACGCCTCGACTAGATGGCAAGACCTAGAGAACGCAAGCCGCTCAGCTGTGAGAATTGGACGTGAGCCGGATACCACATAGCCGCAATGAACGTGTCATGCCTCGGTCAATCGGTAGTCAGCCTAAAGCCAGGTGAAAAGCTAGCGAGTGTTTCCCGCAAAATAGTTAGTGGGACGCTGTGCTAGCAATTGAGAAAAACAGCCGGGCCGTATGTGCTGACCGGTTGATGGGAGCTGTATTGCTTTCGCCACAAAAGCTGTTATCTCCTCATGATTGGCTTCCAACAAACCCTTAAGCGTTTAGTGGGCTGCTTTCGCTGATAAAGGGAAGCATACTGCCTGGAGCACATTCTAAAGTTACATTGTTATTCGCTCTAACGTTTCGATCACGTGTGTGTTGCAGCTGAAAATTCACGCTTTATGGGTGCATAAAAACGATTTCTTGACTTGACGACGTCACAATGTTCTTAGACTTAGGTCTGTCCCGAAGCACTGGTGGCAACATTAGACGGCACACCAATTTAGTCATGAATGCAGCTATTGTCCTCATAGTCAGACAATTGGTAGTTGTACAAATTGACCAAGCCTTCGATGGTGTTTCTAGTGTACAATGGAGAATATACACTGATTCATTTCCTTACGTATTTTTAGATGAAATGTGTCTAATGTCGGTAAATGTCAACAAGTTAGATGTTCGAATTGCCCACCATCGTTTTGGCTACAGAAGAGCATTCGCCGAATGGTGTTGGTGAGCACTTTCTGCAATGTCTCCAAAAAACTGCCTAAATTCGTTCACACTGTTCTCTTTCAGTTCAGCCAGGCTTTTGGGTTTCGTTCTAATAACTGCGCTTCAAGTATCCCCATAGGAAAATATCCATGGGATTCAGATCCGGCGATCGCGCAAGCCATTCGATTGGTTTTCCGCAACCGATCCAACGTCCACCGTATATCACTTTCAGGTAGGCACTAACAGATTGCGCCGAATGTGCAGGTGCGCTATCGTGTTGCCACCAAAAGTTATTCATTAATCCTTCCTATTGTAGCTGCGGAATGACGCTGCTGTGCAACATTTCCATGCACGATGATGCTAATACATGTCGTACAACGACAACCTACTGGACACACTGTTGGAAAACAAAAGGTTGGAAGATCGCTTAGTGGCAAGACCCTCTGAAACGTGTGGGCATATTGCATCCTCAGTGCATTTGCTACTTCCACAGCCGCTCTTGTTGGGCCATCAGCCGTCCTGAGTGAAGGACATCTTTGCCGCACCTTTCTTAGGCTATTGACGTGCTTTACAGCAGTTTGTGGTTAACATTAAAAGTTTTGCAATGTTCTGTTGATAGGCGGCTTTATTTTTTCTTAGCAGTTGTGTGCAGTGGTTACGTTGGAGTCCGTAGTTGTTCCAAGTTTCTGATACTGGGGCTTCTCTGTACACTCGCCATGCTGCATTGCGTACTTTCGTCAATTTTCGAGTTTTGGTCCTAACGAAAGAAAAGGGTTTACACCTATTGCAAACTCTTATCTCTGAAGCCTCTGTAATCAGCTGACTGCATTTGTTGACGAACTCAAGCCAGGCGACTTCCGGCGGTTCTTCGGCAAGGAACGACAAAGTTGGAGCGCTGACGAACTGGGCTAATCGATCGTAACTTATGATGATTCACACAGTCTCATTGTTCTCATTCCGATATTCCGCATAACAGACGAACTTGAAACTGATCACTGCGTGATCACTGCGACCCAAAGCGCAGTTTAAAACCAACACGTCAATTATATGCTCTTCATTGGTAAGCGCACGATCCATCACCGATGATCTGTTACCTGTTCTGAACCGAGTGGACAAACTGATGTAATTGTAAAGAGGAACAGTGGTTACCAGGTCTTGTATATTGGCTTTGAATTGTTCTCCGATCGTCGCAGCAGTTTCTACACAATGTACATTGAAATCACCCATGCTAAGTATGTGAGCGTACTTTCGTTGTAAACTGCATCTTAAAGCAGCCGCTCGGTGACAGTCGGTTTCGGGTGTAGAGTTAAGGGGCCGTACACCATGACAAGAAGGTAAGCGTCCCTGCATTTTAACTGCTAATGCCACCAAAGAGCGTTTGGGAACTGCGAGTTTGAATCCGCCACGACTTCCCACTGTAAATCGTTTCGGTAATAAAGCATTAACCCTCCTCCTTTTGTGAGCCTGTCGTTCCGGATCAGCGACATGCCCGGTAGCGAAACTTCAGCGTCCGTCATTCCCGTGTTCAACCACGTCTCGGTGATACCAATGACAGGATTTGACCCAGAAGCTTGGCGATCTTTCAGTTCGGCCAGTTTATTAAAAAGACCCTGAGCATTCGTATGCAAGCAGGCCAGTTTCTCGGTCTCTAGGAGCTCACATAGGTGTGAAGGGGTCAAATGTGAGAGATCGCCGACCGATGGGAGGTCAACAGTTACTCGTTTTTTTGATGGGATAATGATACCTCGTTTGCAACTTGATTCGCCATTTCTAATTCAAAGTGTATTAGGCACTTTTGCCCTTCTGCCGCTTATCTCGATAGTAGTTGCATTTTGCTAAGCACGCCTAAGTTCAGTATGACGGATGAACAGCGGGAAATATAGCTTCACTCACTCTCATGACTAATAGGTGGAATAGAACATGTGGTATCAACATCAACCTGTTAATCGCTAATCAGTGACTTGCCGGGATTACTCAATTTACACGGACGACCCAACGTTTTTACTCTTTCAATGAAAGTTTTTAGGCCTTGAACACCAAATTTCCAAACCGCATTCCAGAATGAAGAAGCGTTCTGGATTAATTGGGCTCCAGGGATATTTGTTGATCATTACACCCAATTCTTCAGTCGAATGCACGAATGAATGTGAAATATGGTAAGCAGCAAGCGCTTGGTAGCTATGAGTTAACGTGGCCCATTCCCATTCAAACGCACGCACATGCATACGCCAGCGGAAAAATGAGTGGCATAGACACCTGCTTCCATTTGAAAAAGAACTACCGGATTTTTGTCAGTCACCTACCATCATCATCAAGATGGGGCCCTGGAATTTTGCGTTGTAGCCTAGACAACAAATCAGTTATCACCTTAGCATTGATGTAAGATCGTCTCATGGTAACAACACATGGTGTCAAGTCTTAACGTTAAATCCTACGAATGCAGCAAAGTTAGCCGCCCCATAAACAATTCTACTACCGGTGACGTTCAACGTATCCAAAGCCCGATCCACTTTCAAGACTCTCGATTTCAGCTATTCATACTTCGTCAACCTAACTGTGCTCACAATGGCTGGCGGGTCAAAAAACGTTTATGCTGTTGCTCATGGCACGATTGTTGTATGCATACGAGTAGCAGGAATGCAAACGCAAGTCATGCTGTTCGATCACAAGTAATACAACTAGTGACAGCCAGAAGACCAACAAATGATTATGAATTCCGCGTAATGTAATATAGTTTTTCGGGACCCGTGAGTAGTGTTCACTCAGCTGAGCAGTTCGACACGCGAAGGTCACGTTCATGATGTACATGTTGCTCTTGTTGTGACGCACGTCGTCCGAATCCAGCCAGTGGAACTATAGCAAGGCCACACCACATGAATTCACGGCACTACGCTAATGAATTCAGATGCTTCGAAAGTTAACCTCGACTTTTTCTGTGACATTTGCGGAGGTTATCGACCGATCGATTAACAAGTAGCAACACGAGCGGAGGTTAATGTGGTACTTTTGTAACTGCCAAAACTCACCTGAATAGGTAGACGTTGACGTAGAAATATTTTCAGATACCCAGGGACGACTCCGCCTTCGGCGTTCAAGTAGACAGAAAGGCTGACGTTCGCAGAGTGCAGAAGATCGGTTAAAGTGAAGTACGTCCACCCGAAGACCCCCGATCGTTTTGCTAGACCACGGTTGTAGAAGACCTAAATCAAACAAATGGGAGGGATGTACATTTGGCTAATATTGTATTACCCACTCACACATAACGAAAGACCAATGTATGGCACACTTCTGTTCTACCGCAGCCAGAGGTGTAGCAAGGGGCAAAGGGAGCGGTCAGCCCCGAGCTGCACGTGACCAGGGAGGCCTTAATTTTTTACATTCGCTTGTTTGATACCTAATATAAAGGGCAAGATTTCCAGAAAAGCTGAGGGTTCAATATTTTAGGGTTAATCTGTATGACCAACAACATCTTTGCGCCTGGGTCACGCCTGCTCAAACGTTTTTCCCAGCGATCCGCTTACTTGTCCCGTGGTAGTCACTTTCACCACATTTACTTCCGAGTCCCAAATTATTGTCCATTTCCTCGAAAGCTAATCTGTAGTGTACTCTGAACCGATTGCGTGGCCTTCGCGTGACTATTCCGTCTTCAGTCAGGGCGAAAATTCTACCACAGGCCAGGGTGGCAAAAGTAGTGTCTACACCATTGATCACAACTCACCTACCACTTTAACATTAACACTGTGTAATAGCTTTTTCTGATGGTGCCATGCTGCTCGGTATCCGCCGGGCACGCGGCAATACTAGAAGCCCTACATTAATAGTAATTTATTACACTATATTTAAATGCCTTCACTGGTTTATAGCTATCAAAGTATAAGGTTAATTGTAATCTTATAAAGCTTGTCATTTGAATGCACTTACGATATCACCCTCGTATTTTGAATTGAATTGCTCCGAACTATCAGCTACATCCATGGTATCACAAAGGCTTTGCAACACATCAATTCCCCAAGGGACTTTACCCCCAGTATGCGGAGTATCAGGTACGATCTGAATGCCATCCCCGACTAAGAGTGAAACCGTTATTGAAGTTATCCAAGTAGAACGTAGTTCTTCTACTGGGTGGCAAGCAGTCAATTCTGGTGTCAACCTTTTCGCCCACTGGGACACTTTTTCAAGTGCTCCAAAATTGGTCACCATCCAAGGTGGACCAGTTCCTTATACCTACCGGAGCACATGCTTATAAGCGTGGCGAACTAAACTTGCTAAGGACTTTCAAGGTATATTACTTCCATGTGTCCCTACAAAAAATCGTGGCTGATCGAGACATAGCAAGCTAGTTTCAAAGGGAGCAACCAATATGTCGGTCGAATACAGAGAGCACTCGGCAGATCGCAATCATTCGCCATCCAACCGATGCCCAAAATTCAGGTGCTTCACGGTTGATGGTGTTCTCCAAACCTGATAACCTGGGTGGAAGCGCAGCCCCGATGTGTTGGAGGCACCACAACATCTGACAACAAAGTACGGTTAAAGTCCACCAGCAATGATAGTAGGTGCTCGTGGTGTTCTGTGGGCATAACCGGTTGCTACCTAGCGATCTCACAATGGAATACCATACGCTGCGTGATTCCAATCATGTAGGCTGTCATCTACTGGAGATCAGCCTCAGTAACCACCCAAGAGTAAACCAGTTAAAATAATACAGCCGCCTACAGAACCATCGGAATCACTTTCCCCTCAGGGTCCTTGCACCAGAACACATTTACAAACTCAGTCGTCTCTGCCTGCACCCCCGGTTGCTTTCGCAATTTTGCGCTTTCATTCCCACGCATTGTTAAATAAAGTATGGCACTTTGGAGTAAACCTTTCTGACCAAACCTACTCAGACATATTAACTCTATGGATGCATGGGAAGCATCGTCGGCTGGTGAGCATTTTGTTTATTTCAAAAGAGACGATAATTATAGCGAACCCATCCACCATTTTATATCCTTAGAATCAATTACCATCCTCGTCACCCACCGGGAAGCACCAAGCTTGCATTTCGTCATCGGTGTATTATCGGCGCCATTGGTCTCTCCGACACTCAATCAGTTTTGTAGACAGGTATATAATGAGGTTGGAAATCTATCTTGATCAGCTTTATGAAAATGTTAAAAATTGGTAGTTTTACCCGTGAAAAACCATCTTGTGTTGAGTCGCCGCCGACTATTCCCACCCACGACAGCAACGAGAACACGGAAGACGAGTCAGGACAGCACTGTAGTTATGAGAACATTGTTTCCTTAGAAGAAACTTGGCTACTAAAGTACATCAGGACCAACCAACAACGCAGGAGGCGCTGCAAAAGACAGGCGAATTAGAATTGGTGAAAGTAAGAACCAAGCTGGGGTGCCAGAAGAAACGGTATTAACGGAAATGGACGCTGAGACGAAATCTATTACGAACGACGTATACCGACCAAGCAACTTAGAGAAATAATGCGTTTAAACACATGTTAAGGAACAAACGATAACGAAACAAAAACAGGCAGCTAAAATTTGCCACAAAGAATATGTGTCCAATAGCCTCCTTCCTAAAACATAGTATGTGTGGAATCGTATCAGGTGGAGATTAATGGACTAGGATGCTGGAAACACAATTGTCACCCTCAAACCAATGTATGTGCGACAACGATACGCCACCTGTACCCTATTGAGGATTTTTCTCAGTACCCCTAGATCGGCCAGCTTCAATGCACCAGGGAGAATATTATAACACATTCCGGTCAATTTGGTACAAGGGAAGCAATTTATTTCGTACTGTAAACAAATTCCCTGCCATTTAAGCAAGTTGGTCTTTCTATCAACCAAATCGGCTGCAGTACCCGCGTTCACTGGCGTGGAGCTGCTTCGCTGGCCAAGCGCTGTCGGCCAATATGGTTCGCGGCATCCAGTTTCGGATTTTCCTGTCACTGTGGCCATCCACAGCACGCCTGCGCCTACAGAGGGACCATGGGTGGCTTGCGCTGCACCAGCCACAGCTCCAACCACACACTCCATATCCAGTGTAAACCCGAAGGAATAAGACCGGGAGGCATGTGGATGGGAGCCACGTATGATCAACGGAGCCGACCCACACTTCTTCACAGACAAAAACAAACACGCTGTATTTGGGGAATCAAGTACACACAAGGCGGTGGCTGAACCGTAGTTCGCTCCACACTGAGTGCATGGAACCACTCTTCGAACATAGCACGATCACAAGGAACGTGCACCCCGTCCCCTCCAGCAACGACCAACTGTCTCTTGGACCCAGTATGGGCGATATTGTGGGTAATAGAGAGGTAGGCACCATGTCAACATGCACACCAAACGCAGCCACACCGGACTTATCAAGCAACAGCTAATCAATTAAAACGACGATATCAAATAAGCTGAATTGAATAATGCATACAGAGGTTGTGACATAACTCTTCACTAAATGAGAAAATGCAATAAATTGGTTGCCAAAAATTCCGCGAAAGGTTCAAAACGTAAAATAATTTATTTTAAGAAAGTGCCACAGATGCGAAAATGTTATCGAAGTTAGCTACAATGAGTTTAAGCGACGTGTGCAAGTTAACAGAAGATTATTCATGTAGACGTTTAAATGAGGTTAAAAAAGGATTAAGACAAGATAGCAAGCTCACCACCTGCAATAAAGTAACTCAGCACACAAGCATGCGGTTAGTAAGTCGAATGCAACATACCTACCAACGCTGCGCCGGTTCTACGTACGTACACTGTAGGACCCGTTGTCGCTTCGGTAGTGGTCTTGAGTGGCCTTACTCATGGCTCACTAGACCTGCCTGACTCAGGCACTCGTGACCGTATGTGCTAAAGTACCATGCGCTCGATGTCGATGAAGTACTACCCATCGGTGCTTGCGGTTTCCGCACTTGCCGATTCTTCTGTGCATGTATGAGGTCTTTCTCCCGCACTTCAGCAACTGCCTTCGTGATCAGATCGCGCCATACGCGCCGATCAACCGCTTTCGATTCCCATGACCTGCAATCAAGATTAGAACGTGTGAGGCTCACTTTGATCATGTCTTGGTAACGTAACTTTGGTTTCCCCACATGCCGCTTCCCAATACTCAGCTGACCATATAATAGTTGTTTCGGTATCCGCGTCGAATCCATACGGCTCACATGACCAAGCCACCTCAGATGTCTCAGTAAAAGTATGCAGTCCACTGCATACATCCCACTTTGTGGCAACACTTCCGTGCCTGCAACTCTGTGGCCCCAAGAGATGCGCAAAATCCGTCGCAAGCACTGCTGATGAAACCGCTCGAGATATCGCACATCCCGCTGGTACATCGTCTACGTTTCACTGCCGTTTAGAAGAACGGACAGCACAGTGGATTTGTAAACCAACAGCTTCGTGCCAATGGTAAGCTTATGGTTGTTCCACACTCGGTACTCTAGCTTCTCGAATGCCGCGGCTGTCTTGGACTGCTCTGATACGCAGCTCACTGTGTAGCTGCTGATCAGTCGACATCACACTCCCAAGGTAGCAGAAGCGGGATGTGGTTTATACGACTTCAGCACCAATGCTGATTCGCGGCAATATTGAAGATTGCACCTCCGGTGAAGACTGAAAGAGACAGACAGTTTGCTTGTGTTGATGGTGAGCCCGAATTTGGCCGCTGTCGAAGCCAGAGCACTACTCATGTGCTGCAACTCATCCGCGCTGTGTGCAAGCAACGCAAGACGTCAGCGAACAGCGACATACAGATAGTAGTCTCACAGACTAGCGTTCTCACACCAAAACGACGGATGTTCAGCAACCCACCATCAATACGGTGCTCCACACGAACACCGTAAGCACAAGCCGCATCAAAAGCACACGACGTCATTGCATGATGATGTATTTTAAACATGGTAGGAACGAAGCCACAGCCTTGCTTCACACCGGAGACAACTGCAAAGTCCTCCGAGGTCTCTCCACTCAGCTGCACCCTCGTCCGCATACCACTGTGCAGACATTCGATTAAACTTACAAACTTACGCGGGCAAGCAAACTTACTTAACACCCGCCACAATGCCTCGCGGTTCACCGTATCAAATGCCTTGGTGAAATCAACAAAATTCGAATACAACGGCCGGTGTTGTTCTCTGCACTTCTCCTGCAACTGACGAGTCGCAAACACCATATCTATAATGCTGCGACCC